AATAAATTATCAACAATTGTAAAAAGCTTTTTATTTTTTACATTTAATTTAAAAGTTAACCCCTCTCACTGGCATCAGTATGATTTTTTTTTTACAAAAACAGGTTCTCTCTAGGGTTAGTGCTATTTGCTTATTCATCACAGAAATAAAAGTGCATTAAAGCATTGATTCATAGATTAAACTGAACTGTGTTATATTTATGGTTATCGTTAAAATTCATTCACAGGTTAATGGTCATTTTGAATGAACCTAGCTTTATTTATTACGCATTCAAGTTGTGCAGGCTTTGTTTTAAAACTGATACATTTTTATTATTTTATTAAGAGTTTATGGTGTTGGACTTAATAAACCTCTTGTTTTTTATTTGAAAAAAAAAAACAATTATTATTCTTATCATTGTCTGTAAAAGATTGATGGAGTTTGATGCAATTTTTTAACTCCTTTTCTGAATGCAGCCTTACAGATCCACACTGCAAGCAGTGCCCCAGGACTTATTGATTTGCCGTTAATGGGGGTCTGAAGAAATCATGACATTTATTTATTTAGGAGATGCTATTTTCTAAAGCAATATACAATTGAGGAAGTAGGGAAATCCAGTCTCTAGAGCAATTGATGTTAAGGGGCCCCATGGTGAAATAACTCTGCAGACTCCGGGATTTGAACCGGCAATCTGAGCAACTAACACATGCAGAACATGAGGTTCCTCAATCCATGATGCTATTAAGCAATTTTGGCATAATAGTTACATTGAGGTGATTCTGAGGCTGGACCAAGGATGGAGACATCCTGGATGAGACACCAATATCTATAAATATATTATTTCAAAATAATATAGTATTCTCAAAAAAAAATACAAAATCTAATTCTCATCCACAATTCCTCAATCAGAAACTAAAATAAGATTGATTGTGAAGTAAAAAAAATTAAAATAAAATCAGCCATTTGAAAATTATTGACAATGAATTTGCGAGAATTTTTAATAGTGGTTAGAGCAACTCCTGCGCAAGGACTGCAAAACAAAGCCTTAATATATCAGTTCCAGTTAGACCAGGTAGAAAATTGACTCTACTGCCATTCTTGTTCACAGTATGTGTCTGTCCCCATTTAGTAAAAAGAAAGTACAGTGAACAATACTATCATTCTCTTTGACTCCTGGTCAATATGTGCTAATCAGCTCACAGGATCCATTCATATTTAAAAAAGCAAGAAAAACTCTTGAAAATGGCTCTAGAATACAGCTAAGGATTGTGAAGGAAACGCGAGACCTCATCGTCCTCCCACCACTGAAGTTTGACCTTTCGATAATATGCTTGCATAAGAATTGGCGTTAATTGCGTGTGCCATCGAGTACCTGCCGTTTTAAACAAGCCTCCCAAAGTTCAGCTAGCATAGCAAAAGAACATGGGTTCACTAGTCATTAATGTTCGATCCCATTAATATGTGACTGCTACTTGCAGTGAAATGAAGGAAGTAAACTAAATTACAAGAGGAGCCGCAAGCTATTGGCTGAAGGAATACATTGGCCTGCTTGGTCCTGACTGCACTCATAACTAATTGTGTTTGTGGACAATTGACAGTGGCTTGTATGTGTTGACATGGCCCCCCATGAGTGGGTCATTGGGAAGCTTCCGAGGGATGAAATAAACTGTTCGTATTGCAGAGTAACCTTAATATTCAATAATCAAGGCCACCAGATGTGCAAAGAACCTTCACAGATCAACACACCACACCGTCAGCACACCTGTCCAGTAGCACTATGAATTGCATTACCCCAATGGATGCGTACACAATTAATTCAGAAACATGCATTACATACAAAAGGACAATGATGAATATAGGACAGTGGACCTAAGATGATGTATCAAGAATATAAGGATCATGTCTTGCTAAAGAATATTTTTCACGTTCAATGTCCATTTCAATGTAATCGTCTCTCCTACAGTATCTGCAATGTACTGTACAGGTAGTGAGGTCCTTTACCAGAAAGCTTGACACTACAATTTCACTGGCCAGGAGAAGGAATCAAGCAGTCCATACATTACCAGCCCTCCTTGGGACAGGGGCATTTTAGCAGAATAGTTGCCATCTTAGGAACATTCAAGGTAACCATAGGTCATATTACCAGAAAACTAAGCAGCTCGAAAGTCCAAACAAAACAGACCGATTGTTCAGAAGAGATATTGTATGGCTGTTCTGGTGTGAAGGATTAGCTTTTTAGTTAGGGCACATTTTCTTTGGCTCGTGTGTGTAAGTTGAGCAGGACAGGACAGGCAGGGCAGGCAATGGCCTGGGGCCCCGAGCTGGGGGGAGGCCCCGAGGGCAGCCAGTGACATCGTAACGACAAATCTGCTTTATTTGTGTAATCTGTTTTTAACAAAACTGAAATTAAGGTCTTGTGTTTATTAAATTGTGTTTATTAATTTACACATCAAGGTAAAATAAAGGTAAGAAATTTTACCATGCAGGGGGGAAGGAGAGTTGGAGGGCCCCATGGAATTTTTTGCCTAGGGCCCCCAGAGTATCTAAAATCGCCTCTACTGACAGAACTTTAATTTTGCCATGTGTCGTACTTTCTGCGTAAAGCATGTCAGTCCTAGGGCAAAGCATCAAGAAACCTTGATCATGTATAGCAGCCAAGATCCTATAAATGGCCAGGAGCTGAAAAGCTAAAATCCATTCATTGTGACAAGTTGGATTTGACAGCTAAGATCCGTCTATCGGTTTGAGCCCTTTGCCCATCACTGCACAACATGTATTGTCTGGGAGCAAAATTTGTTCTGTGAAATGTCTGGATTGTGTTGGTCAGCTTGACAGGAGCAGCCCAGTTGGTTCCAGTGAAGATAATTCAAGGACTTTTGTGGTAAACTGCAAGGACATCAAATAAGAAAGGAACCACAAAAAAATTTGAAGTAATATTTGTCCCTGAGAAACCCTGGTTTCTGTGTTCTCTGACTAATGAATAAACCGAATGTTAATAACAGTTAAGTAAAATGACAATAAATGTGTTTTAGTTGCAGCTTATCAAAGACTTCTCATATTACTTTCAATAAACATGACCCTTAAGTTGATAAAACTCACAATTACATGCTGTTTCATTAAATTATCAGAATACAGTGGAACCTCGGATTACGAGTAACACAGTTTACGAGTGTTCCGCAAGATGAGCAAAGATTATTAATAAATTTTGACTTAGAAACCGAGCAAGTCCTGGTTTACGAGCGCCAAGTATCATCAAAAATCATATGGCACTCATGCACTCCTTGTTTTTCTTGTTTTTACGTGCGCTCTGCTTCAAAACAGGAAGCGCAGTATATATATATATACACAATATACACATGCGGGGGGGGGCATTGTGAGCACATCTGGGACGCGCACCCCCCCCCCCCAAATATATTATCATTACGGCCTTGGTTATACATAAATGATACTAATACATAATAAGCTAGGAGACACTATAATCAAATCAAAATCCACTCTGAAAATGTCAATGACAATGCAAAACATTACAACTACGAAAATATTACAAACATTAATTAGTAAAATCACACAGCTTATAGTTTGCATTCATGAGTACATTACAAACTGTTGAACATATCTGAGTTCATTCAACAATATTTCTAATAATTTTGTTTCCGCAAAAAGTAAAACTGAAGACAATGTAATCATTGTAATACAAGTAAACAAAACATAACCAGAAATATAACACAGTAAACGTTATTGTTAAAGACTTCTACTTTTTTTGCCTGAAAAGAGTGAATCAAGTTGAGACTTCTTGTACATTATTCAGTGAACATATTTTAAATATCAGCTACACTGAATGACACCATATCATTTGTTTCTCAAGTGCCTCTTGTTGTTGCAATTTTGGTCCAAAGCAACTAGAATTCGTTTTTCCAACAGCCAACAGCTTGTGAAGAGATGACAAGTCAACGGATGGGAGCACCACAAACAAGCCGGACTACATTACAGAAAGCAAACAGACCAGGACCACAGAAAGCGACTGTGCCGTTCACAGCCAGTTCATTTCCTTCTTTTTGACAGTACAGTCAAGCGCATTTTAATTGGCCTTTCACATTCTGCTCTCCCACAGAAACACATGATAAGGAGACAGAGGCATCCATCTCTTTAGATGAATTACAGAAGCCGGCATTACCAACAGATCAGACGGCTGACAGCTTCTAAGACTCATTAATTGCTTTTTAATTTCAGGAACGTAGGTCTGAGCTGATCCAACCACACATTGCCCACATGTGGAACATCTTGTATTCAACAACGATTCAATAACATCCTTGGGCACCAGCAGTTTTTCTCACACTGAATGTCACTTACCTGGCAACCCTAAAAAGCATACAGTTAAGATCACACACTTGCAGTTAAAAAGAAGTTAAAAATAATTTTTATATCTAATAAAATTAATTGTCCTATTGTTACTAGAGGAGGATCATGAAATAATAGTGGATATAAGGGATGTCTGTTTCAATGTTTTTGTCTTTGCACCCCCATAGTATTTTTTAACTGTCTTTGTGGAAATAAATGGCTGAAAATGCCCCCATTAAAGAAAAACTTGTGAAAATTACGTAAACATTGTGGCAACCAAACAAACACATTTTCACAACCACATGAGCTTTAAAAAAAAACAAAAGAAACAGAATCAAAACATAGTTTAGGTCAGCCTTTCTCAACCCGATCCTTGGGGACCCCCAGAAGGCACATGGTTTGCTCCAGGGCTGGGAGGGAGCAAAAATATGGACTGTCTGGGGTCCGTGTTGAGAAACACTGGTTTAGGCTATTCAAACCTATATCTGAATTAATTTGGTTTGGGTGTATTGAAAATAAGAGCCAATCAAAAGTCCCGACAAGAGTAGGCGTACAAAAATTGTAGGTGTGTTTGTGTGCATGTGTGAATAGAAGTGACAATTCTGTTTTTATCAATGTTTCGCAGGTAAGTATATTTAGAAGCATGGTGAATGAGAACAGAAAATAAAGAGGTGTTACCTTACCTAACACTCCAAGTCGGTAGTTCATGGTGATGACTATGACATTCCCATAGCTTGCCAAGATGCTCCCATCAAACATATTTCCAGTTCCTTCCATGTAAGATCCCCCGTGGATAAATACCATTACTGGTTTCGGGCTGCCACTCTCACGGATGTCTGGAAAAGGAAAATAAATCATTCAATCTGGCAACTTCCAGATTAGTTTTGGTCAGCTTACAGTCAAATAAATTACCGATAATTGTCTTTGGCATTCATTTCCTAAGCAGCATGTATGTTATGATTTTGGAGACTAATTTAAAGATATTTTATCGTCCTTAATATTGAAAAGCTAATTTAAACATTTTCTTAATATAAGGATTCCACAAACCAGCCTGCTTTCAAACAGAAATTTAGTAACAAAAAAGGATTTATTAATATGCCCATTTTGAATAATTTGTTATTGATAGATTTTGAATGGAAGAAAATGAAACAATTATTATGGATACCACTGTTCTTTTGTTTTGTTTTTTGGACACAAAATACGCAAAAATTTTCATTAAGGTCAACTCAAGAGCAACTGTGAAAGAACGGAATCACAATAAAAAGGGGTTTTATGTCAACTTTCTCAGGAATTGCAGTATTTTTTTGGTTAAACTACACAGCCGGGTTGGGTCATGTTCAGGGGTGGGGGGCTGGGGAGGTGGGCTCAGTGTGAAGCGCAGAGGAACATGAAAGAGCCCCCCTGCTTTTAATCTCCACATCTCAGCAGACAAAGCCGTGTATTATTGCAAAGGACTGTACTGTGATTCATAGACACAGAGGATGAGCCTCTGCAGTGAGTGAGCGGGATTCCGTCATTCGTGTCAGAAACCTTACACCTTTTATTAACTTTGATAAAGTAAATGAATCACACTGGACCAGCTGAATCATATAGAAAGGCGGCAGGGCAGAGACACAAGCCAGGTGATCACAAACAAAAATCTCTGAATCACTGGGGCTATATGCAGATAGATGTACAGCGATTAACAGTAGGTGAGCCTAATCCCAGGCCACATTTTGAATGAAAACATTACTTAAGGAATTCTCTATGAAATCTGCATACAAGGTGAGTTTAGACTGACATAAAATTCCTTACTGATACAAAGCAAGAACAGGAGTCTGATAGCCCTAGCAGATCACTCGTTCACAGCTCTTTTCAGCTGCAAATGTATTAGAGCTTTTCTGACCCATAGCAGTATTGTTGTAATTGGTTTAACACATCTTAACTTAAGTTGTATGCCGACTAATCACTGTGGATTGTTTTTAGTCTGACAAAGCCAGATGGGATTCAAGAACTATAGATAGTTTCAGCAGCACTAAGATTGAGTATTTAATATTGGGTGATCTTTCTACTGTTTTATATTCACCCCTTTAACCAAGCAAAGCTGATTCCAAAGAATTCCACCCAAAGCTGGCAAAAGTGATACAAAGGAATACTTCCAAATGACTTTTGGGACGGTTTCTGATCAGGAAAGTGTGTCGATTTCGTTACTGTGCTCAAGTCCAAAAGAGTGTAGATTCATCCCAGGGTAATCATGGGTCCTCACAGTTGGGTCCTCAAGCAAGGTCTTTAACAGCTTCTGGAACACTGGATGTGCTTTGACCCCAAGCTTTTCTCACTTTGTATGAGGCTTTGGATAAAAGCCCCTGCTAAATACGTAAATGTTTAAAAAAAATCAAAATGTAGTTTTTTGTAGAAACCACTAGCTGTTGAAAAGCATCCAAAATGAATATATACTGTGTAGATCTTGGCCCAGTCCACCTCCTCCACTGGATCCAGGGTTTCCACTGTTTCCGCAGCTGGAGAAAATCCTTATTTTTCTCAGAAAAGGTCCCGCTGAGGTCATGGTGTATGGTTTTCTAAGCATATTGTCTACAGTATTAAAGAGGATTATCCTACTAGCTCAAACTATTAAATTCTTTCTAGTAGCTCATAACGATTCCTCTGCTCACTTCTAATGCCTTAATCTCATGATGAACACATTCAGGGGGTACTGTATTGCCACAGATTAATTGAAGCCATAATAAAAGAGTAATCGGAGCTTATTTCACAAGATCTGAAAAATACATCCCATATTAGAAACCATATGGTTCCACCATTGTTTTAGCCATACCTGCTGATTAATTAACAAGAATTTTAGACATGCATGTTTTCCTAATTACCACACAGTTGGGGGATTTGCTTAGGATTAATAAAAGAGTGGGCAGCTGTAGGCGGACTGTCAACGTATTTTGTAGCACCGTAAACTACAGCTTTCAAATCCCATTGATATACTGTATCTATTGTAATTACAGGAACTATTTACAAGAATGCTCAAAAGTAGAGTGCATTACAAGCTCTAATGAGGGGCCTGGCCAAAGTGGGTAAGGTAGGTCATGTTATACATCACATTAAGGAACCCTGTTTACCACTGGCATGGCCTTTGGAAGAGCTATAGTATCGGCCCTGTTGCCAAAAATGCAGCGGTATTTGATGCACGCATAGGACTTTCTTCCAAGTGTTTCCTGTAGTGATAGAAACCTGGGTCAGCTTAACGCACGTTCCAGATGGCACCATTCCAGGTGTTCACTGAGGTTCCGGTCCTTCGATCTAATCACCAGCTTTAGCCTCCTCCATTGGTAAAGACTTCCATTTTGGAAAGAATGCTGAAACAATTGCTGTCAACACACTTGTTTCCGTGCAACTTTTCCAGTCTCTCGGGGGTAACTGTTTGTGGAGGAGGTGTCTTCGTACCTCCTAGCCATGAACTATTTTCTTTTCCAGCTTCAGTCAGTTCCCAGCTGTCTTCGGTTGTCTTTGGAAGTGTTACGGCTTCTCCCATATACTTCTATTTCCAGTCTCTGCGGTATAACTGCTTGAAAAAGAGGTGTCCTAGTATAACCTAAGCAGGAAGTATTTTCACCACCAGCTTCAATCTGTTCCCAGTTATCTTGAGACGTTTTCAAGGTGTGAGAGGTCCTCCCATATAAGAGGTATCCTTTTACATGCTAGCCATCAGTTTCGGTCTGATCCCAGCTGTCGTGGCTTGTTTTAGGGGTGATACGGGTCCTCCTGTGTACTTGTACAGACCATTCCACAAAACTTACATTAGCACACTTGCAATTACCAGAGGCTTTGAAGATAATCTGAGCTTGTAGGCATTTTTGGTTGTATGTCACTAACAGTTTATCAGTCATCGTCCTGTGAGGTTGCAGCTTCAGGCCTGGGGTCACCACCAGGGCAGATGTTCTCCACACACCAGCATGCTGGGATCTTCCCCAGGTTCCCCTGCTGCAGCAAACTGCAAGTGCTAAAAGAAGGACTCTTCCTAGTATCTTCCGGGTTTATGTTATGCTTTCACGCATCTTTCCACTGGGTTTTCCCCTTAGGAACGTTGCAGACATACACATCCTGTATATCTTGCAGCATATACCCTAAATTTGGACAAATTGCAGGCTAATAAGCTGACCCTGATCCCGAGAAAGTGGCAAGCGTTGTCAGCCTTCCTTGATGCCAAAAGCTGATAGGTGGTACAGGGATTTATAGTCTTACTGGGATATTACAGGCTGGTTTGCTGCTTTTAAACCATATCTTATATAACTACTGTTTTGTTCTGTGTGATATTCAGTTTATTTCATTCAGTTTATTTTATAATCTTAACATACTTAAAATATTAAGTTAAAAAAATTAAGTATTGCAGTAAATATAAGTAAATATTTCTCCTGAATATTCAGGAGGTATTCAAATGCTCAAAGCACAAATGCAAATGCATTACTTAAGCGTGCGGCAATATGAATTGAAAGAACATACAATGCTGCATAGGAAATGTTTTAATGGTTTTTTTTTGTTTGTTTTCAGTTGCTACACTGGACATTAGATATAAAACTTCAGAGATTAGTATGTTTTACATATGTCTGATTTTCATCTAATTAATGAGTTCAAACATTGCCTAAAAAAACCACAGGGTTTGAAAACATGCACAAAAAGTGTTAAGAATTACTAAAAGGATTAATAGTCAGTATATGTATTCATTTTCGATGGGATGCAACATTTAAAAAAACAAACTAAAATATAATTCAAGCAAAAACATGTTATGTTTAGTAAAATGAAACAATCTAGAATAATTGGAAAACACAAACTCTAGAACAAGCAAAAAGGACAAAACATCCAGCAAAAATGGGAAGAAAAAGTCTTCACTCAAAAAAACAAGAAATTTAAGAAAAATAAAGAAGAATATTGGAGGTTCCTGGTCATGCATAAAGTTTGCTGTCAAAAATACCTTCGTCTTCTGTACCTTCATTATCACCTAAATCATCATTCTGTTTCTTTGTAAGGGGACCTAGGATCAAGAATGGAGAAAATGGAGGAAACAAGGCATTCAAGAACACACACATCAGAAAAATGGGTCTAAAAAGAAGATCAGAAAATATTTGTTTTTCCCCTTTGAAGACAATAGCTGTGTCACACAAAAAAGAGGTATAATACACACTTCACTTGTGACCCAAAATATTACAAAATCTTTTTTGAGACAACAAGAAACACAGGTCAAGAAACTATTTCAAATGCTTAAAAAGTGTACTCCATTTTGAAAAATATTGTTTAAAAAACATGTAGTTATAAAGTTGTGAGAATTTAAGGTGACAACCAGACAAGTCGTTTTTAGAGAAAACAGCTAAAGACAAATGTGCATGTGCGTGCGTGCACACACACACACACACACACACACACGCACGCACGCACGCACACACAGAATCAAATACACAACCCTTAAATACAATTAAAAAAACAGACATATTTTCATCAGAAAAAGCACTGCAGTTCAACTAATAAACCTTTGACTATTCACTGCTTTATTATTTGCTTAAATATACCTATATTTAAAGTCATAATTTAAGAAAGAGACAATTCAATGTATGATACAAACTTGAAAACTATTTTCAGAACGCATCTGCCTAGAGAATTTATGAACAAAATATGGAAATACTTAAAGTATGGAGAATAATCAATGTATTTTTTTAACTATACAGAAAAAAACTGCACGATCAGAAAATATAGTTTAAAAAAGCAAGAAAAATGTGTAATCAGGCTGTAAGGTACCACAATGCATATAAATAAAATAGTGGTTTAAAGTGTGTGGTGAAAGGTTAATTGTTTCATGTGCTTCACATTAATATTCTCATTTGCAAAATAAGAAAGCAGCAAGTAAGTCAAAGGCTATGGCAAAGGATTCCAAATGATTAAGGATTAATTCTAAGAAATGAAGCACAAACTGAACGTCATTCAGGAAGCAATACCAGTGAGGCAAGCATATAAAAAAAAAAAGTAAACGACTGCTGTGCATGGATTTATAAATCCATCGCCTCACAAAACCATGGAAAAGCATGCAACAGGATGGTGGACGTTTTGATTGGATGAAAGGAGGCGTTTCCTTATTACTGACAACGCTATGAAAATCATGCATCTTGAGGACAAGAAGATGGATACATATCAGATCTCACGAGACGGCGGATGACAATGAAAATCCCCCAAAAGTTTGAAATCATGCACTTGCATATTCATTTTGTTTCATTGTTGTTTACTGCGTCTCCTCAGTTGGCACTCAACTACAGATGGCATAATACCATACGGCATTATACCATACGGCATTAAGCAAGAGAAGAAAAGAAGGTTAGGGGAAACTGGCAATGACTCCTGTTATTTTTGACAAGGCATTTTCATAAATACATAAACAGAACTTTCCCTTACATTTTTCTGGGTTTAGCAAATTAAATCCTGCAGCAAAACAAAAATGTTGCAAATGATACCTTAAGACTGTTCAGTTGAAAGTATTCAGATAGAAAGTAGAGTTACCAATAATCACTTCCATGTTGTAGGTACAATATGATGTCATCCTACTTGTTACTCCAATGAAAACAAAAGTCAATGATAAAGTTAGTGTTTAAAAAAATGCAAATAAAAAAGTACACATACTTCTCCAATTCTTTTTAAAGAGCAGAAGATCAGAAATTTTCCAAATTTGCAATTCAGTAAAAATTGGTTATTGTCCTGCAATAGCAGGACAGGCAAAATAGATGCATACGAACAGGAGGCTACATGAAAGAAAGAACAGAGCCCAATTTGGTGTGCGGAGAAAGTTACGCCACAGCCAATAAAACAAACCATTCATCATGATCATCAGCGAAGAATATCACATCGGAATATCACCTCATGGGCAAACAGAAAATATCTGCCGAAAAAATGTGCTAAAAATCTGTTCAGGCAGTTCAATGGAAGCATAATAAATGCAAATTTAACTACTGCAGCAGTAAGCAGAAGGCGTGTCATTCTGCTGATGTCTACAATGTTCAATAAAATCGCACCCCGAGGGAGGGATGAAAAAAGCCTATTTCATTGTATTGTCATTCAGGTTATCACTGTGTTCACATACTATTGCTAATTCTACTGCAGAAACTGAAACATCATAATTGCATCACAATGCCCCAACTTTGCTACTGTACCATAATACCCTACTATGTAAAGGTTTGATGACATTACTGAGCTGCCCCAAAGAAAAGTGCAACTAAATCATCATGAAACAATGTTTGTTTTAAACATTTATTTATTTATTGATTTTTATCAATGCAGCCTTTTCCCCTGGCTGATCCAATAACCAGGTGACCAAACGCTGGGAATTATATCGCGCATATTTTTGTTCCGCCTGGTCTAGCTGCCCCTTTCTCCTCCTTACTCCGTTACCCTTCGACGATGGGCGAAAAATGGCTGACTCGATAAGAAAAAATGTGATGTCCTCTGCTGAATACTAAACGCACCCTGCCTTTGAGTATAACCCCACCAAAATGAAAGTCTACATACTACACAGCATATTACTTTCTTTACATCAAGCTGTATGTTTATTGCATATTTCTTAGCTTGTGTAGAATAAAATGAATTGTATTGGTATAAGTGCTCAATGGGAAAACGCACATAATACAAACATAAACATTAGTAAATTGCTACTGCAGAATCATATCATCCATCCAATCATCCATTTATCTTCCAACCGTTTATCCTGTACAGGGGGGGACCATATATGCCCAGTGCTCAAGGCTATAACACTGTTTGATACAATTTGTGTTTATGTCTAACCACTGAACTCCACAAGTATGCTAAAATAATCTAAATAAAACCTGCATGTGAACTAATTAACAGCTTTTTAGAATGATCACATATCGCTATTGACCAGAGGTAGAACGTTCTGGGTCAGAAAGTACAAATCCAGACCAAGATTTTGTTTCAACTACCAGTTGAGTACTCTGAGTCTTTATACTCTGTACTTTATACTAGGTGGCAGAACGGGAATCTCAGTCTGGATTTGAGCTCTCTGAACCTGAACTTTCCACCTCTGCTACTGACACTGAAAGAGGGCATCTGAAGTACTGCTAAGTCACATGCAGAAACCAAAGCAGTGGTTGTTTTTTTTTTTTAAATCAGATTTTTAAAAAGCAGTTACCATGAAACCACTACTGTTGTACTGCAAGTGTAACAGGAATTTTATTGGTGTAAAGGTTCATGGCCCTTTCCTTCATGAATGGAGTGAGGCTTACATACTGCTTTCTGATCAGCGGCTTGCATCACCGGCTCCTTTTCCAGGCTTTGGTCTGATGGCAGCCATAGTTTCTGCTTCAGCCACATTCCTTAGACACAATAGCCCTGGTACTTTGACACCTGCTATGTCTTTTAATTAAAACAGTACTTCAACAGTGTATTCAGAAAAATCCATTCATCCATTTCCCATATCTACGTGTCCTATGCATGGTCACAGGGGCTCGGAGCCTATCCTAGAAGATACTGGTAGAAGGCAGAGAATAACCCAGAACGGGCCACCAACCCGTCGCAGGGCATACACACCATTCACACCTACGGGCAATTTGGTAACCCCAATTCACCTTAGCACGTTTTTGGACTGTGGGTGGAAACCAAAGTAGCTGGAGGAAACCCCATGACGACATGGGGAGAACATGCAAACTCCACCCACATGGAGCCATGGCAGAAGTGTAAGGTAACAATGCTAACCACTACCAAGTTCAGCAAAGTATACTTAAAAAAATATAAACATATATTTAAATGATGTAGGAAAATCAAAGTAACTTATCTATCAGTTTTTTGTGGGTTAGTTCCTTTAATCTAGAGTTTGCTGCCATGATCCAAAGCCAGGTTCCATCCCAGGCCCGATAACATGAGTCTGCTATCCAGACTCAGAAACCCAAACCTGTACCATCCTATGTTCGGAGCAGCTCAGCCTACAGACACATTACTGAGCTGAGTCCACAGCCGAGCAAGGGGGCATAATACCAGGCAGATGCTTGAACATCCCTCCCCTGCCAGGAGTTATGCTGTATCATTAAATCACCCATGATAAGTCACTCCACAGCTCCCAAATTCCCACATCGCTTTATCCCCAATTCTGTCCACTGCAAACGCAGCACAAATTTCTATAAAACTGTTTCTTTAAAGTACAGATTCATAGATACTTTATTTGCATGGCGATCTCTTCTGGACTAAAAATGCATACCAGCAATTAAAAGATATGCATGACACATATATATTACTTTTCCCCGAATTTACATTTTGGTTCTACCTTCCCAAATTGCGTTTATATTTCAACAAGAAGCCATTTCATTCTGAATGCTCCTTAATGGCACAAAGCATGCAGGCATACAATCGTTACCGTGCGTTGACATGAACGTCTGAAAGCAGTAATATTTTTGTATAGTTCAGGTAGCCTATGCAAAGACACATCAGGGTTAGGTAACTGTATGCATCCTGAATGTCACATAAGCAGCAGAGGCAAAGAAAAACAACCACACCCCCCCCCCCCCAAAAAAAGAAGTAGACTCTGCAGTGCCTCCTTACAGACGGCATGGAAATACTATAAAACAGGATACTGCAAGTGCTACTAACATTAAATCAGGCAACAAAAGTACTCTAAGAGTATTTTATCTACTTCTTAGATGCCATAAAGGCGGGTCGGCCTTCACATTCTCGTCCTCTTAATAAATCTGCTCCTGTGACCGTTAACGCTGCATGTATTACTGCAAATGTTTATTAAATATTTATGAAAATTCCCTCGCATTTTATTGATCAATGTGTCAGGACACCTCTGCGAACTCCCGAGCAGGGTCTTGATTTAAGCTATTACTTGACAAGTTTGACGCGAAGCAGGTTTTATTTATTTTGCTCATTTCTAATACAGTCATGGCTGTGAGGTGGCATCAAGGATTCCAGTGAATAATTTAATGACTGCGTGCCAGAAAATGACACATTGTGATGTCACCTGAATGCACTTCAGTGATTTTCTGT